AGTAAATTAAAAATTAGAAAAATAGATAAAATAAAAAGTGAAAGCGAAAAAGAAAAAATATAGGTATAATAAATATAATAAATAATAAAAATTTATTCTAATGTTATAAAATTTCAGTTAAAGTTATATCTCCGATGTTAACGCGACGCGAGTTCGATACGAAATGATCGTTCTCGCCTGTCGTGTCCTCTATTTATACAAGCGCGTGAACCGAAGTCGAACGAAAATATACGACCTTTTCCGATTTTATCAAAATAAATTTTTCGAATATATTAATCAATGATTTATCAATTTTTAGATTTTTATTGTTAATTTATTGTTAATTTAAGAATTTAATAACAATTTTTAATATTTTGATTGTTAATTTATAGATTTAATAACATATTAGGATATTATATATAATAATTAAAATATATTTTTGCGAAATAAAGTAAAATTTTGTATATTATAACATTAATTTTCGATTTAAAATTATTAAAAATTAAAATTTGAAAAAATTTTTTCTCAATATTTTATGCGAAAAATAATTATAAAATAGCCACGAATAGATTTACATGATTTATATAAATAATTTAATAAATTTTAAACTTTTATTCTTTAATTTATTTACCCATTAACTTATTACGATAATAGATATAACAAATCGCACATATTTTTATAAATTAGATTTTATAAAATAAGATTTTGTGGTTATTATTTTTTCAATCTTTTATTATAGTATAATATGTAATTAAAATAAATAAAAAATTAAATATTGAAAGATAAAGCCAAATTAAAACCAAATTAAAAAATAAAAATTAAATAAAAAAAATTTAAAGTAAAAATAAAAGGAATTAAAGTTAATGTAAATTAAAAATTGAAAAATATAAATTATATAAAATAAAAAGTAAAAACAAAAAAGGAATGTACGTATAATAAATATAAGAATAAATAATAAAAAATTATTCTCTATATTGCAAAATTTCAGTTTCAATAATGTGTTATAATTTCATTAACTTTTATGTTATATTCTCTTTTTATATTTGTAAATTTATTCATTATTTATAAATTATATTATAAAATTAAATTCTTTTATATGTTGCAACATATAAAAACATAGAAAAAGAATTTAACATTGTAATACGTAAATAATGAATAAAACATAAAAAGAAAATATAATGTAAAAATTAATTAACATAAAACATAAAAAAAGAAGCATACTAAAAAAAAAAATTTAATGTAAATATAATCTAAATCAAGATAATACAAACAAATATTATTATTTTATATGTTGCAGTTTTGTTGGATTAACTTAATTATTATATTAAATTCCTTTTTTTTATTTTTTTTCCTACTTCAATTAATATTTATTATAAATTCTTTTTTTAAGTTTCAATTCTTTAAATTTAATTAATTTCTTCATCTATGTTTTTCATTTCTTTTTATTTTATATTCTCTATCTTATATTCTCTTCTTATATTTATATATATATTCATTATTTATGTATTATAAAATTAAATTCTTTTATTTGTTTTTATTGCAATATATAGAAAAAGAATTTAACATTGTAATACATAAATAATGAATAAAACATAAAAAGAAAATATAATATAAAAGTTAATTAAACATAAAATATAAAAAAAAGATACTAAAAAAAATTTAATATAAATATAACCTAAATCAAGATAATACAAACAAATATTATTATTTTATATATTGCAGCTTTGTTGGATTAACTTAATTATTATATTAAATTCCTTTTTTTTATTTTTCTTTCTACTTTAATTAATATTTATTATAAATTCTTTTTTTAAGTTTCAATTCTTTTCTTAACTTTAAATTTAATTAATTTCTCCTTCTATATTTTTCATTTCTTTTTATTTATCAGTTATATCTAGATATATATATTTTTTTATATATCTGTTAACATCTATCTTATATTCTCTCTCTTCTTATATTTATATATATATTCATCATTTATATATTATAAAATTAAATTCTTTTATATGTTGCAACATATAGAAGAAGAATTTAACATTGTGATATATAAATAATGAATAAAACATAAAAAGAAAATATAATATAAAAGTTAATTAAACATAAAACATAAAAAAAGAGGCATATTAAAAAAAGAATTTAACACAAATATAATCTAAGTCAAGATGATATAAAAACAAGTAAATTTATGAAATTTGCAATATTAAATTCTTTTTTTATATATTGCAGCTGTGTTAGATTTACTAAAGATTTACTTAGATTCTAAATTATTATAATTATTATTAAATTATTATTAAATTCTTATTCTAAATTCTTTTTTGATATTTTAATTCTTTTAGATTTTTTCTAACTTTGAAAATAAATTCTTTTCCAATGTTTCAATTTTTTTTCATTGCATAGTAGTTAACTTTTATGTTATATTCTCTTCTTATGTTTATATATTTATTTATCATTTTTATATTATAAAATTAAATTCTTTTATGTATTGCAATATATAGAAAAAAAATTTAACATTGTGATATATAAATAATGAATAAAACATAAAAAGAAAATATAATATAAAAATTAATTGTTATAAAGTAAAAAGAATTGAAACATAATAGAAGAATTAATTTATCTCAATGTTAGGAAAGTTTAAAAGAATTAAATTAAATTTAGAAAAAGAATTTAACAAAAATATTAATTAATTTAAATCAAGAAAAACATTTAAACAAAGCACAATATTTAGCAAACTTTTAATAATGAAATATTTATATATATTTTTTGTAATTCTATTAAAACTTGTGTTAAATTTTTTTTTAATGTTTTAGGTTTTTAGATTTAGATGTTTTTTAACTTTGAGAATTAATTCTTATTAATTTCAACCTTTTTTTTTTATAGTAGTTAAATAACTTTTATGTTATTTCTTTTTTTAAATGTTTTATTAATTAATGATGTATTACAATATTAAATGTTCTACTTTTATACAGATTTTTTCAATTCAATAAATATATATCCAAAATTCTATTTATATTCTTTGAATTTTTCAATATTTAACTTTTATTATTCTTTTTTTATATTTCAATTCTCTTCAGATTTTGTTTTTCTCAATATAAAATATTTTATTAGTGTTTCAATTTTTTCTCTTCTTTGAATTTTATATTAAATAATGTTATTAAGTTTTTACTGATACAATTAATTGCTAAATATTTTTTTGTATTTTAGGTTTTTCTGTTTTATTGATTTTTATGTTATATATTTTATATTTTCCTTTATTTTCTTAATTTAATATCTTAAATTTATTTATTTTAAAGTTAAATTGAACTCTTGTGTTTTAATTATATTAAATTTAATTACTCTATGTTGTATTATATTATGTTTTTTATATAATTTTTTATTTTTTAATTTTTATGAATTTATTTAAGTTTTTTGTTAAATTTCTTTTTTGTGTTTTAATTTAAAATTTAATTAATCTTTATATTAAATTCCTACTTTATATTATAATCTGTTTCATTCAATTTACTTATCTTGTTAAATTAGTAATTCTATTAATAATTTCTTCTTTTTATTTTTGCAATAAGTATCTTTACAGAATTTCAATCTTATAAGCAACAACAATTAATATATGTATTATATTATATTTTAATTTTTCGCGCGATTTTTGAATGAAAAAATAAGCATCATGAGCCAACCAATCAGAATGTCGGTTAATTCGTGACGCGGACGAATCAGTACGCATCGCATTGCGCAACGCAGTGCGCAACGCAGTGCGCATGTCGTCAGTCTACAGTTGAAAATTGTGTGGAGTGGACGTATCGTCGCGAATTCGGATTACGCAGTAAGTTATTTTACTTTTATTATTACCAAATTTATCTAAATTGTTACTAATTTAGTTTTTTAAATAATCTATTCAGTGTAGTGAAAACAAGATTAATTAGTTTTTTGCATATCTTTGTGTCTTTTCTTTCGATTGTTCATTTTACATCTATTGCGTCATTAGCGTCCCGTATCGAAATATTTCGAGAGAGAATTTGAAAGGGTATATTAGTTTCTTTTAATATAATTTTAATTATATATGTTTATTTTACAATTTTTTGGTCTTTATTTTTTATCATTTTAATCGTATTAAAATAAAAGATATTTTTTACGGTTTATTACGTATTCATTTCGTGAAATCGAATTGTTCAAGTATCGTATATTTTTCCGAATATATATATCGTGTGCAAAATATATATATGTCTCGCGTATATGTTTATTGTTTACTTTTTTTGGTCTATTGTTTATATTTCACTCAAGGCTAGAAACATTTCTTATGATATTTCATTTCCAAGAAATTGGGTTCGCGTTCAAACATGTTTCGACTTGTTGAATTGCCGAGCGTATCCCCTCTCCATCTTGCTATTCGATGCGCGAAATCGAAGCGCAAAGTGACATTGTTCGTTGATTCGTCGTAATAATTAGACGTTTGAAATTTTCTCGAGACGTGTGTTCTATTTATCACATATTATTTTAATATTACTTTTTTTATAACTATTTTTGTTATCATTTGTGCGTTAATTAATACATCTTTATTCAATACTTTATTCATCATTATTAGAACTGATAATTTTTTGACAACTAAATAATTTTGAATTCCTTTATATAATTCGAGTATCGAATTACAAGATAATTTATATTGTAAGTTTTTATTTGACTTGATTATTGTGATACTTTAACATAATCTAATTTCACATATATTATTCGTTTATTTAACAGTTTTGATTTTTTTTTTTGCGCAGGTTTAATTGGTAGCGTATGGTAATATTCTCGAAGGCGGGAAAAATTCCAATATGGACGCTACGTCTTTCTTGGCGACATTCTTTCGTGGTAAAATTTTATATTTCGTATGTATAAATTTTTATTCTGTTTTATTGGATTATATATTAGTGATTTTTGTTAAGCAATTCATAATAAAATTATGTTTTAGTTAAAAAAATTGAAAAAATTAAAAATTTATGAGAAATTTTAATGATTTATTATTGGAAATTAAATTTTAAAATCTGATAACAAACATTTTATTTTTATTTTAAATTTCAGATATTAATAAATAATTGATAACATTTTTATACATAATACGTAATCAATTAAAATAAAAAGGCAATATTTTCAGAACAAATGCTCGATAAGAAATAGAAGAAAAATATCAAAAAGATATTGCTTCTTCTTCTATCAATCCCCACTCCTCTATTAATTTAATGTTAATTTCAGAAAATATTTGTGACCGCGTGCAATGCGGTTAATAGAATCAGTGTTTGCTTCGTCATAGTATTTTGAATATTTTTTAGAGCACGATAGCTCTGATTAAATGTAATTAGAATAATCAAACGCGAAGGTAGAATCAGTGTTTGTTCGCCGACTATAATTTATACGGACGCGTTATTAGTTTCTTATTTTTATTTTTTTTAATTTTAAATATTCGTTTTCGGTACAGAGTAGAATCAGTGCTTCACTCAAGAGAATAAGGCGATCATCCACCACGCGAAGAGGTAAGAAGAAGATTCTCATTTTTTAGATTTTAATTTTTTACATTAGAATTTCATACTTTTATTGTTATTAAAATTTATTAGAAATTTAATTTTTTTATTAAAGTTTAAAGTTAAATATAATTCTGTTATAATTTTTACTATTCCAAAATTTGAAATAACGAATGTTATATTTTTAAGAAAAAATTATAATATTTCATATTTTATTTCACAGATGCTGATGATATTTATGAAGATTTTTCTGGGACTTTAAAAAATATTTGTGATCACGCGCAATGTGGTTAATAGAATCAGTGTTTGCTTCGCCATAGTATTTTGAATATTTTTTAGAGCACAATAGCTCTGATTAAATTTAATTAGAATAATCAAACGCGAAGGTAGAATCAGTGTTTGTTCGCCGACTATAATTTATACGGACGCGTTATTAGTTTCTTATTTTTTATTTTTTATTTTATTTTAAATATTCGTTTTCGGTACAGAGTAGAATCAGTGCTTCACTCAAGAGAATAAGGCGATCATCCACCACGCGAAGAGGTAAGAAGAAGATTCTCATTTTTTAGATTTTAATTTTTTACATTAGAATTTCATACTTTTATTGTTATTAAAATTTATTAGAAATTTAATTTTTTTATTAAAGTTTAAAGTTAAATATAATTCTGTTATAATTTTTACTATTCCAAGATTTGAAATAACGAATGTTATATTTTTAAAAAAAAACTACAATATTTCATATTTTATTTCACAGATGCTGATGATCTTTATGAAGATTTTTCTGGGACTTTAAAAAATATTTGTAATCACGCGCAATGTGGTTAATAGAATCAGTGTTTGCTTCGTCATAGTATTTTGAATATTTTTTAGAGCACGATAGCTCTGATTAAATGTAATTAGAATAATCAAACGCGAAGGTAGAATCAGTGTTTGTTCGCCGATTATAATTTATACGGACGCGTTATTAGTTTCTTATTTTTTATTTTTTATTTTATTTTAAATATTCGTTTTCGGTACAGAGTAGAATCAGTGCTCCTCTCAAGAGAATAAGGCGATCATCCATCACGCGAAGAGGTAATTATTCTTTCATCTATCTAAATTTTTATTCTTTTAAATAGAAGTTCACTGGAATTTCAATATCATTATTATATATTACATATTAAGTAATTTCGTATTTCAATTTTTTCAAATAATCAGAACCGTGTTTTAAATTATGATGTTTTGCCACAGATTTCTTTCACTCTTCTACTTGATGACAACCTTCTTCTGGGCTACAATATCAGTGAGGGAGAGGATTCGTCGCATCGTATGGTGAGTCGCATGCTTTTTGGTTCCTCCGATCGCTCAACCATGTCGTAGGATGAAAGATCCGAATCGACACGAGTGATTGGTTGTATACGTAGAATTTTGCACGAGCACAATGACCACGGATATTTATTTATAATAAATATCCGCGAGTAGTAACAATTATCTCTTTTGTGTTTTATTTATTAGTTCAGGCTAGGATCTTCTTACGCTTCGCGTTTTTTTTTGATTAATATAAAATGTTTAAATGTAAAATATAATTTTCTAAAACATATAATAATTATTATTACATAATTATTGTACTAATATCGAACTACAATAATTAGTTTGAATTTGTATAATTCAAAATCTTTCAAATAATTCAAAATTCAAAAAAGAAGATAACATTTTAAATTATTTGACCAATTTGATTATTGTGATTGTCATATAATAATTTCATATAACTTCAATATGATTTATAAGATTGATAGATAGTATAGAAGTTCAATTTTTATTCGTGCAAATGTGAATTAAATTTTGTGTAAGAAGATATTTCGCGACAGGCAGATTTTAGAATCAGAGCAATAAATTTTGAATATTATTCTTGTGACTTTAAAAATATGCTCTGACGAAGGAATCGTCTGAGGGTATTTCTATTAATATTTATATTAAATAATAAATGAATTCTAATTCAATATTACTTTTTAAATTCAATATTAAAAATTTAATATATTAAAATTTCAATAACTTGTTCAATTAATGGAATAAAATATAATATAGAGTCACAAATAATTTGAAATATATAATAATTTAAATAATTATATAATTTGAAATATATAATGGAAAGAATATTAGCCCGTTAGATACAAAATGGATATATTAATATATTTTTAGCTCAGGATTTTCAGGTTTAACCCTTTCCATGTTCATTGCCAGGAACTCACTCACGTGCCCAGGTGTTACTTGAGCGAGGGAGAGGCAATGGGTATGATGATCTTAGCTGATAAGTTAATACAATTTTTTTAGCGACTGACGATGCGTTAGTGTATCGTGCACGACGTATTTTCCACATTGTGTGTTTGTGGTTAGGCTGTGGAATTGCGTCGTTTCAATTATTATTTCTTTCACTATTCAATCACAATTTACAATCACATTCGCAATTAAATATTGCTAATAAATAATAAATAACAAGATTACTAATCTTTAGTCTCAAATTATAATAATTGTACAATTTTGGTACACAATAATGATTATGACAATGGTACTATATAATCTAATGACTAGATATATAATCTAATGTATTTTAGAATACATTACATATTCATAAATATTCACAATTAAAATATACATACACATGTTTTTGTCGCGTTTCACGCAATGATCACTAGCTATCGTCAGTCGATTTCAGGAAAATGGTACGTAAAGTTAGAGTGTGCGAGTAGT